TTTATGCATCCAACTCTCAAGAAGACAGGAAAACTCTTTGGGAGGATTTGAGGAATATCTCTCCATCTGGTGGTGTTCCCTGGATTCTTATGGGAGATTTTAATTGTTGCTGTTTCCCTTCTGAGAAAATTGGGGGTAATGAGCTACATCAAAATCAGCTATTTGATTTAAATAGTGTTATTTTTGACACCAACATTAAAGATTTGGCTTCTATTGGACCTCCTTTCACCTGGTTCAATCAACAAACTGAAAAGCCTATTCATATCAAATTAGATCGTATGTTGGTAAATGATCTTTGGATGTCCTGTTATCCTGGCTCATACTACAAGATTGAAAATCCTATAGGTTCTGATCACTGCTCTCTCATTCTCAAGTGCCGGGAGGAATCTAACTGTAAGCATCGATTTCAATTCAAAAATTACTGGGTAAAATATGAACAGTTTTGGTTTTTGCTGTTTGATATTTTTTCTGTCAAAGCTACTGGCAATCTTTTAGCTGACCTTGGGGCAAAACTTAAGAAGTTAAAAATCTCTGTTAGGAGTAAGTCTTGGGCTTCTGCTAATGGGATGGCTGACTATATTAATATGCTTAAGGCTAAGCAATCTGCCACTCTTAATAGCTTGGATGTTGCTGTCAACTTAAATGCCTCTTCTTTGGAGCTTAAAAATATTAACCTGCATTTGGAAGATGCTTCCTCAAAGTGGTTCTCTTGGCTTAAACAAAGGGCTAAAGTTAATTGGTTAAAGCAGGGTGAAGATGACCTTAAATTTATGTATGCCAGGATTAGAACGAGGAGGAATTATAAAAAAACTGTCATTACCTTAGGCATGTCTAATCCTGATGCATCTATGTCTGATGCAATTAATGGAGCTATATCCTATTTTCAAAACCTCTTCAATACTACTCCAAATTTGGATTTTGACATCAACAATTTTCATCCCGGTAATGTTATTCCTTCTGAATTGTTAGACTCTCTCACTGTGCCTTTCACAGATACTGAAATTAAGCATGCGGTTTTTTCTGGAGCTTCAGATTCATCTCCTGGGCCTGATGGATATAATTTTGAATTTTTCAAAGCTACTTGGGTGGTTACAGGTCCTACGATTTGCAATGCTATTAAGAGTTTTTATCATAATGCTTATATGCCTCGCTCGACTAAGGCTATTGCTATCACTCTTATCCCCAAATCCAGTCATGCTGAGTCTATCTCTGATTTTAGGCCCATTGCACTTTGTAACACTTCTTACAAAATTATTGCAAAAGTTTTGGCTGCTAGAATGAAGCTCATTATGCCTTTCATTATCAAAGATAATCAAGCTGGTTTCATAAAAAATAAAATTTCCACTGATAATATACTTCTTGCTAATGAAATTCTTCAATATTCTAGGAAATCCTCTAATTTCCAGCTAATGTGTATTAAGCTGGATATTAAAAAAGCCTTTGATAGTGTATCTAGAAGGTTTCTTATTGCTAGAATGTTGCAAAAAGGGTTCCCTAAATTGTTTGTGGATTGGATAGATGCTTGTATTTCCGATGTGTGGTTTTCGCTTTGCATTGATGGTGCATTAGATGGTTTCTTTGCTTCAAATTCGGGCCTCAGACAGGGATGCCCTCTTAGTCCGTATCTGTTTAGTATTGTGATGGATGCTCTTTCATGCTTGCTGGATTGTAATATTCATGAAAACAGTTTTGATGCCTTTATGATTGGGGAGTATAGGTTGTCTCATCTTATGTATGCAGATGACTTGATACTCTTTGGGAAAGCAGATCTTAATAACTGCTATAATCTGACTCAAATTCTCAATGTATTCTCTTATGCTTCGGGTCTTCATATAAACTATGAGAAAAGCTCTATATTACTTCCATCCAGATGTGCCATTGCTGATAGAATCTGCTCTTCTCTAAACATTGCTACTGCTTCATCTAGCATGAACTATCTTGGGCTTCCTCTGTCTCCTTATAATCCTAAGCTTGCTAGTTTTGCAAAACTTATAGAATGTGTTATTGCTAAGCTTTCAGGTTGGAAGGCTAAGGCTCTATCATTCGCTGGTAGGCTACAATTTCTCAGGTATACCATTTGGAACACGATAGCTTACTGGATTCGTGGGGGCATTATACCAAATTCTATCATTAAGCAAATTGAGAGGTTAAGAGCTAAATTCCTTTATTTTGGTGATACAAATGCTAAGAAAATGCACTTAATTGCGTGGAGGAACACTTGCAAACCTAAAAAGATGGGAGGAATTGGATTGCCGTCGCTTAATTCTATTCAGTTTAGTTTTAATTGCTCTCTCATTATTAGAATTTTTAATACTCATTGCCCTTTGAGTATTTGGTTATTGCATACTTATATTTCTCCCTGGAAGGAGCCAGTTTCAAAGGCTTATAGTTTCTGGAAAAAGCTGTGTAGAGATGCTAGTGTAGCTAAAGGTAATTTCCATTTTATTGTATCTGCCTCTTCTAAAATTTCTTTATATTGGGACCATTGGTATAAGGATTGTTGCCTCAAAGATAAGGTGGAATTTATTCATATGCTTTCTTTATATTGGGACCATTGTAGCTAAAGGTAATTTCCATTGGTATAAGGATTGTACACAATGCTTTATCTGATATTATAATTGCTTCGGGTACACATAACAATCTGTTTTGGGGTTCTGGTAAGAAATGCAAGCATAAAGATTTCAGGGAGTTTTTCTATCGAGACAATGGGATTGTTAACTGGTGAAATTTTGTATGGCATAAGCGACATGTCATTAGATTCTCTTCTTTTTGCTGGATGGCGATAATGGGGGGGGTAGAGCTAGGGGGGGGGGGGGGGGGGGGGGGGCTTAAAACAGCTGATTCTCTTATTAAGAAAGGTATTAATGTAAATGCTGCTTGCACCCTTTGTCACAACTGCAATGAAACCATTAGCCACCTCTTCTTTGAATGTGACTACTCTTTCTCTATTCTCTCCAATCTGATGAGAAATCTGGGATTTTTATTGTTAAGACCAAATATTTTGCAAACCTTTGAATACATTGGTGAGACTCATACTAGAGACAAGGAATTATATTATTTGCTTGTCTGTTGTTCGGTTTATCACATCTGGAGGGAAAGAAATGAGAGAAAATTTGGGAATGGTTCTTCTTCATCTACTTGCTTAGCTAATAGAATCAGAACTGTTGTTTTATCAAAAATTTTAAAGTGGAAAAGTGGGCATCACCTGATGGAAATTCTGTAATACATGCTGGGTATATAGAGTTCGGTATGGATTACGTGCTCTATTGCTTATTCTGGGGCTGTTCTCATCTCTTCCGGTTATTTGATGGAAATTCTGTAACTCCTGCTGGGTATTTTGAGCTTATAATGGTATACGTGCTCTTTCCTTCTGGGTTTTTATTTCTGCTCTTCCGGTCTGCTGTCGTTTATATAGCTGGAGTGGGCAATGATGATTGGGTTGCCATTTTCCCCTAGGATGGCAAGGCCCTAATATTTGCAACCAGGCTGAGAGAGAGGCAATTCCTGAGCCCCTGGATTGTAGTCTCCAAACCGATTTTTGGGTTTTATTATGTTTACATTTTTGTTATTACTTTAGCTACTGACTTTCCTGTATTTGTTGTTGAGGGGTTTTGTCATTTCCCTCTTTAATTTTTTGGCCGTTGGGTCATGCTTTTCCTTTACTGTTTTTTTCTTTCTCACCTGTAACTATTATTTAGTGAATGGAAAGGGCTAAGCCCATAATTTCCCCCCAAAAAAAAAAAAAAATACTTTACAACCTAAAATAATCAAACCAAACAGCCCCTAATAAATATTACTATAAATATAAAATTTGTAGGTATCACATTAAGAAAATCCCTTAATAAACAAGCTTACTTAAAAAATGGGCAGACATGCGCCGACAAAAAGATCTCGGATTAAATCCCACTGATTCGGGCCGACTTTCCTCGAAAAAGCTCAGCAACCTGCTCCAATAGATATCAAACACGTCACTATAAATAATAAATAATTAAGCTTCAACCTTTTTCGTAATCGCGAGCGCGAATCTAAATGACTCGGGCGAACGAATGCGACAAATTATCGATCCGTACAAGCTCTGTTATTGTCCCGGTCACGTCTGGCAGTGGTCTCTCCGTCACGTGATTAGCATGAGCCGTTTTTTCAAAATAAATAAACAAATAAACAAACAAATAAATAAATATATATATTAAAATATAAAATTATTAAAACATCATCAATTTTATCAGTCAATACCAATTTAATGAACTAAATATATTTGATAGTTATTTGATTTATTTTTTTATATTATTTATATATTTAAAATAAATCAAAATTGGTTTTTAAAGTACCCAACTTATTCGTATTTTCATTATGCGTCTCTCCTTAAGGTTTGTTTGGGACGGCTTTCTTATTGCTTCTTAAAGCAATTTTTTTAGTATAAAATTTAATTTTTATACTAAAAAGCTGCTTTAAGAAGCAATAAAAAAGCTGTCCCAAACAAAGTCTTAATCTGTTGATTATGAGTTTTGACTATCAACTACCAACTAAGAGATATTGAATTCGAGTTTTACATATATGATGTGTTTATATATTTGTCTTAATTGACATAAATGTTAAAAAAAAAAAAATTCTAATGCTCGCTAAGTTTTAAACCTATTGCCCGCTACTTCTATTAGGCTTCATTTAGGACAGCTTTTTTCTTACTTTCTAAAATAATTTTCTAGCATATATATATATATATATATATTCAAATTTATTTTCATTTTATATTAAAATATATAAAGAAAATTTAAAAATAATAACATTGAAATTTATGCCGTAGCCCTTAGGTGATTATGCGTCTTGTTTTTTTTTTTCTTAAAACTCGTGCTATAATTTATAATTTCGTAAAATAAAATTCTTTTTAAAAGTGATTTATGTAGCTATTATCAGTAATTCTATTTAAAAAAAAAATCAGTAATTCTATTTCTATACAATATTTTGTACCTAAGTAACGAACCGTTTGGCTCTGCAGAGACGCTTCCCAGCAGTCGCTACACTGTCTCTTCTTATCTTCTCTATCTATCTGTATCTCTGTCTCTCTCTCTCTCGGTTGCTGCTCTGTCCAGCTACGCATGGAGCCAGAAGAAGAGGGAGAATGGGTGTGGGTTAGGCCACCGACAGAGGCGGACTCAGAGTTTTGGGGCAATGGCGACAACGAGGACGACGAGCCGTCGCGGCCTCTCAAGCTGGTCTTCACGGAGCCGGCGAAGCATTGGACCGACGCCGCTCCTATCGGCAACGGTCGACTCGGCGCCATGGTTTGGGGCAACGTACCCAATGAGACTCTCCAGCTCAATCGTAAGTGCTTCTTTCTTCATCCAGATTCCTCTATTTTCCTGAAACTTATCCTCTTCTGGTGTAGATGATACTCTGTGGACTGGTGTGCCTGGTGATTACACGAATCCTGATGCACCTAGTGTTCTTTCTAAGGTCAGGAAGCTTGTTGATGATGGGCAGTATGCTGAAGCCACCGCAGCTGCTTTTGGATTGTCAGATCACCCACCTGAGGTAGGTGATGTTCTCCCTCTGCGTGTGTGTGTTTTTCTCTCCCTTTTGGAAGGAAGGAGGAGAGCAGCTAGGTGCAAATTGTTAGAAATTAGTAGGTTAGTAGAGCTCCCAGCTATCTTCTGTCATTTGGTTCTTCTTTGCTTCTTGTTGTGTATTGCATTGCAATGTCTGCTTAGTGTGATTATGAATTGAAGCATGATCATCAACAGTCTATTAACCATTGGAAACGAAGGTTGAAACCCTGAAAGATAAAGGGCCTGATTAACTATGCATCCTCAGGTTCCAATTAATTGGATGTATCACGTATGCCGTATGTCTCTTTCTGCAATTTGACAGTGTACTGAATATATTTAGGGTTCATCTGGTTGCTTGTGGATGATAAATATGTTTTAGGAAATTTGAGTGTCAAAATGAAATCTTCAAATTTTAGAGATTTTGAAGCTGTTTGCTGAGTAAATCCTTATTTTTCATAATATTTTATCTAATTTCAAAGAACCAAATGAGACCTTACTCGTACTAGGATCTTGCTTCCAGAAGGAATCAACCATTAGATTATTGAAACTTTTGAGGTCCTCAATGAAGGCCCAAGAAAATTTTATTTTATTTTTTAATTTTATATACCATGTTGGAAGTATGCTCCCTCTAGGCTGTTTAGTTGGAAAAATTATTCTGTGTGAACACTGGACGCCGTCTGGCGTCGAGCGTGTCACGTCATATTTTTACTGTGTACCGCGGCTGTGTACCAGGTGACGTTGCATGCTCTTATTAGCCTTCAATGGTTTGGTGTCTGCACATAATAATCTCTCGTTTAGTTGACTTCATTTTGTTGGTTTATATACATGTTGTAGTGGTTGAAATTGTTTTAGATTTAGTTTTAGTCCTGTTACATGATGGAATATAATAAAGGCAGGCACAAAAAAAAGGTGAAAAAGTTAATTATTTCAAATTATTTTGATTCTTAGATTTTCTTATATTAGCACTTGGCACATAAGTTCGAAAAAAAATCTCTCATAAATCATATATGTTTTCAAAAGTGATCACTCCTAATTGCATCTTCTGTGACTGCAGGCTTATCAACCTCTTGGAAATATCAACCTTGAATTTGATGATTCTCATTTGACCTATACTTCTTATGTGAGAGAACTTGATTTGTCAACTGCAACTGTTAAGATCAAGTACAATTTAGGGGATGTAGAATTCACAAGAGAGCATTTCTCATCAAATCCACATCAGGTGGTTGTGACAAAACTCTCTTCTACCAAAACAGCTTCTATCTCATTTATTGTATATTTAGACAGTAAATTACACCATCACTCGGTTGCTAATTCTGCAAACCGTATAATCATGGAAGGTAACTGCCCTCCAAAAAGAAGGCCGCCTAAAGTTGAATTGTCCAAAAATTCCGACGGAATTCAATTCGCCGCAGTACTTGATGTTCAGATAGCTGGTAATAATGCTGTGGTGCAAGTTGTGGAAGACAGGAAGCTAAAAATTGATGGTGCAGACTGGGCTGTCTTGCTTCTAGCTGCATCATCATCATTTGAAGGACCATTCATAAATCCAGCGGATTCTAAGCGAGATCCAACATCCGAATCACTGAACACTGCAAATTCCATACAAAATTTGTCCTTCTCTCAGTTATTGGCATATCATTTGGATGATTACCTGAATCTTTTTCATCGGGTTGAATTGCAGCTGTCCAACGGTTCTGATAGCATAAAAAAAATGAATCTAATTCATATTAAGCATAATACTGCTTGTGATGATAATCTCTATGCAAGGAGGAAACTGAAATCATTGAAACATGATTGTTTGAATGGCAATGTTCTTGTGTCAACTGCAGAAAGAGTGAATTCTTTTAAACTTGATGAGGATCCTTCTTTGGTAGAACTTTTGTTTCATTATGGGCGCTATTTGCTTATCTCTAGCTCAAGGCCTGGAACCCAGGTTTCTAATTTGCAAGGAATATGGAACAAAGATCTTGAACCTCCATGGGAGTATGTTCTGAACATACATTACTATTTGCAGCATAGAAATGTATTTCTTGATTTTGATTTATGGTGTTTTAAGTTTCTGGTTATTTCTTCCAGACATTTGTTATATGTGGTCCAACATTTGGCCGTTTTTACATAGTTTACATTTTATTTTGGCTGTCTTTCTCAAGTTGCTAGTGGGCTTGTTTTTCTTTTTTTAGGAATGATCATAACTTGGTGAAAGACTTGGTTATGATTTGCTTAAAAGATGCTTGCCTATTTTGTTGATTTTGAATTATTTTCAAATATAAGTAAGCTTTATTTTGGAAAACTTTAATGACTCATTATTTATTTGATTACGGAGTTGATTATTTTCCTAATTAAGTTGATTTGATTGGAGATTTGATTGATGTATTAATTAGGGATCTAATTATTGCATTAATTAGGAAATTTGATTTATGTATTGATTAGGAAAACATTTATTAGGAGATCTAATTATGACATGATTGAATTTCTTATTAATTAGGCTTCCTTTATTGTGTTTATTTCAAATTTTAAATAGGGCTTGAGGGCTATTGTATTGGATGTATAAGAGGAGAGGAAGCTTGAGAGTTATTGTAATTTCCTATTATTATTCAATATGGTGAAATCATCATCCCCTCCCGTAGACGTAGGCATCTTCGCTAAATAACGTAAATCATCGTTTTATTTGTGATTGATTGTGTTGTGTGATTTCTGATTTTTTATTTTCGTTGTGATTGTTTGCATAACAATTGGTATCAGAGCTAGATTTCGATGATTTTCGGTGACGACGAACGGGAAGATTTCCTGTCAGTGTGGTTCGACCGGGCTTGTAGCAACCTTCAAACGAATCAGATGCATTGGCTTGATTGATTGCTGAGTCGGATTGGTGCAATTCCGTCATCATAAAGAGGTTGCAGTTTGGTGGAGGTTATGAGATCCGGTAGAGCCACAGATACATCCACCTCGTCGATGAAGACATCGATTCATCTGGTGATTACACATCTCGTCAAAAATGACTTGACAAAAATTGACGGCAAATAAAATTTTGGCATGTGGCAATGTGAGGTGATGGATGTGCTGTGCTCTTTGAATCTGGAGTATATTCATAATGGCGATGAACGTCCTGAAGAGATGTCTGAGAGAGATTGACTCAAGATGAACCAAAGTGCTTGTGACTTGATTAGAAATTGTCTATCTTAGGAGATCAAGTTGGGGTGATGATGGAGACTTATGCTGTGAAGCTGTGGATGGCTTTGGAGAACAAGTATCTGACAAAGAGCATGAAGAATCGTCTTCATATGAAGCAGCAACTCTATAGGTTTCATATAAGGCATGAGATTACAATTGATGAGCATTTGAATGACTTCATAGAGGTGTTGACAGATCTTGTGAATTTGAATGAGGAAGTTGGAGATGAAGACAAGGCATTCCTATTGAATTTTCTCCCGAATGAGTACTAAAACTTCACGATGACACTCATTTATGGGAAGGTCTTGAATTATGGTGAGGTGACTCCTGCATTGCTAAATCACGAGTTCCGGCGTCAGGACAAGGAGTCTGCAAAGATGGATTCAGCTGAGGCTCTCTCACTCCAACAAGGAAGATTTAAAAAATAGAAAAATAAATTGGGTGGCAGCAAGCAAAACAAGTCTCATGGGTGCAATCTTGGGAACAATCAACATGTTTTCTACTTATAGACTGATTATTAGAAGAAAGATTGTCCGAAATTGAAGGAGAATAGAAATGGAGTTTTCACTGAGGCTAACTTTAGCGTGGAAGAGCGTGAAGAAGATTCAGATGTATCACTATATGTAGTTTCTCAGAGTTTATATTAAGATGATTTATGCTGAATTCTGGATACTGGCGCTACCTATCACATTTTTCACACTAAAGAGTTGTTTGGTACCAACAAGGAGCATGACAGTAGTGTTGTGACTATGAGAAATTATTAGGTCTATCCTACAGTTGGTGTAGGGAGCACCTTCATTAGAATGCATGATGGTACTGTGAAAGAGCTGACTGATGTGAGGCTTGTTCCTGATATCAGGAAGAATTTCCTATCTATTGGGCTTTTAGAGATCAAGGGCTACAAGATAGTTATTGAGACAAAATTTCTGAAGATATATTATGGAGCTTTCGTTTATCTTAAAGGAGTTCATCACCACAACCTTTACCACCTTCAGGAAAGAACTGTGATTGATTGGAATGATTGTTATTATCGATGATTCTTTTGATGTCACTGTATTGTAGCATATATGGCTAGCTCATGCTAAAGAGGCTTTTCTTATGGATTTGGTGAAGCAAGGATTGATTAAAGGAGCAAACACCTACAAGCTTGATCTTTGTGAACATTGTGTGTTTGACCAGAAGACACGTGTATCATTTTAGTACTGTCATCAACAATACAAAGAATAGCTTGGAATATATTCACACACATGTTTGGGGCCCGAAAAAGACAACATCATTCTGCGGGCGACGATACTTTGTCTCTTTTATTGATGTTTTCTCCTGATATGTTTGGAAGTGAATTGAGACTTAAGACTGAAAAAATGATCCGGTGTATCAGATCAGACAATGTGGGCGAATGCACTTTGGATGCATTATTGTAGGAGTGCCAGAGATCTGAGTTTCAACACCCACTTCACTATTAGAGCAATATTGCAGCAGAACGGGGTGGCAGAGAGGATGAACGACACTTTGGTGGAAAAAGTTCGGTGTATGTTATCCAATGCTGGGTTGGATAGAGTCTATTGGGCTGAGGCAATAAATTATGCCTGTCACTTGGTGAACTGTCTATCTTCTACAACTATCTGAAAGAAGACCCCAAAGTAGATGTGGTCAGGAGATTCTGCTAGAGATTATGAGCGTTAAGACTGTTTGAGTGTCCAGCTTACTATCATGTTCAAAACAATAAATTGAAACTGCAGGCAAATAAGACGATCTTTATTGGCTTCAGGCGTGGAGTCAATGGCTTCAAACTATATGATCCGATAGAGAAGAAGATTGTCATTGGCAAGGATGTTAATTTTGATGAGGCAAGCATGTTGAAGCCTCAAGACTCAAAGCAGGTGGAAAGTTCTATTGGGATCACATATGCACTGTAAAAGTTGGAGTTTAATGCAACTCCATTTGCTTCACAGAGATAGGTCATTTCTACCAACGTACTTGATTCAGTTGCATATCAGGAGGTAGAAGATGATATTGAGGATGGGATTCCTACTCAGTAATCTATTACGAAGAACAGGTCTAGGTGCCAGATTGTCCCAAAATCAGCTTGGTTGAATGATCACATTGCATTTGCACTTTCAGTCATGTAGGCTTAAGTTCCTAGTCACTATAAGAAAGCAATGGACAATCCTGTTAGTGATCTTTAGAAGAGGGCTATGGATGAAGAGATGGGGTCTCTTCAGAATGATGCTACTTAGAGGATGGTGAAGCTTCCTCTAGGAAGAAAAGTCATTGGGTGCAATGGATGCGTGGAAATGAAGGATCTCTTGGAGCCAATATATAGTATAAATCTGGTTGATGGAAAAGGATTTTGCACAATGGGAAGGGATTGCTTAAGATAAGGTGTTCTCCCCAGTAATTAAGTATCACTCAAATCGTGGTTACTTGGCACTTGTAGCACAATATGGTCTAATTTTGGAGCAGCTCGATCCAAACATTGCACAAGCAGTTGATTTTGTGAGCAAGTTCATATGTGATATATGAAAGAGTCATTGACAAGTTGTGAAGAGTATCTTGAGATATCTGAAGGGTACAATTGATGGCAGGCTTATAGATGCAGTCACCACAGCAGTGATGCAAGACTCATGACTGATTGTCCATTTATTTGAAGAACTAAGCTTGGCTTGATTCCTTAGAAGGGGGGTACATAGGCAACCATCTGTGTGCATTCGTTTTGATATTGAAGATTGGTTTGTTCTCTTTCACTTTTTGAAGTGAAAGATGAAATGGAGATTGCTGATTTAGAATTATTTTCCAAATCTAAATAAGCTTTAATTTGGAATGTTTTAATGTCTTATTATTGTAATTAATTCGGGAGCTATTTTTTCCTTAATTATGTAATTTGATTGAGGATTAGATTAAGAAGTTTTTCCTAAATTGTTTTGTCTCAAATTTTTTTAAAGGGCTTATGGGCTGCTGTATCCTGGTAAGAGAGAGCTTGAGAGCCTATTGTAATCTTTATTATTCTCTAATATAGTGAAATTATCATCTCCTCCCCATGGACGTATGTATCTTTTCCAAACCACGTAAATCGCCGTGTTCTTTGTGTTGTTTGTTGTGTGATTTTTGATTTGTATAATTTATGTTGTTTTTCACATAATAAATTTTGGCGGTGACTTCAATCTGTCCAATCTACTTTACTTGTAGTGTCTACCAATTCAATTCCTTTTCCTAATGGCTTCTAACACGATGTGCCAACTTTTCCCAATGCAGCTTACTTTGTTCACATACCCTGCTAACTATGATTGATGTGTTAGAATGCACTCAAGACACATTTCATGCATAAAGTGAGTTGTAGAACAATCATGACTTGGTGGCTTTGGGGCGTCAACGAACCCCAAGTCAAATTCAGAATGCCAACCTATATGGGCAATGCAACCTTCCTGTCGGATGTGTTGACTTGCTAGCTTAAGGCCAGTCAGATATAAGTCGGGTAGCTAGCTCCATCAGGTCATTTGTGTCAGGAGCTTATTTGTACTGTCAACTTTTGGATCATGCCCGACGAAGTAGGTACTAGTCCGACGAGGCCGCCAAGACAACCTTGAATCTTTCTATGGTGTTACCCTTCTATGGTTGTTGCCAGCTATAGAATCATCAGGTCTCTTACCTCATTGATATAATTTCTCTAGTGGTTCATGACATTGGAAAATTGTCTAAAACTTAAAATGTATACTTAGATAAAAGACAAAAAAATGAGAAAGTTGTAAAATGAATGGTAATAGCATCAAACAGACACTATTTTCAAGCTAATGATCATTCATGCAAAAACAAAATGACAATTATTTTGATGCCTTGTTCATGCAATTTCGTATTGATTTTATTCTTATTTTTTTTCTTAAGATTTTTTTGCTTAATTGCATCTGAAGATATTTATTGCAAATGCTCCTAACTTGTGTGTTATGCTCTTGTTTTTGTTATGCCTAGTTAAATCCATAAAAAACTTATGTTGTTTTTTCTTTCCCTCCAGTGCAGCTCCTCACTTTAATATCAATCTGCAAATGAACTATTGGCCATCTCTTTCTTGCAATCTTAGTGAATGCCAACAACCACTGTTTGACTACATAGCATCTCTTGCAGTGAATGGAGCTAAAACAGCAAAAGTAAGATACACATGCATTCTTTGCTAAAATTCTGTTACATTTCATGTTTTGTAGTTTATCTTATCATAGTTAGCAACACTTGCTTCAAAAAATCTCTAATTGTAAAATTGATATTGGGTGGATGTTAAAGTTTTTTCCTAGGTTGATGCTGTATTTACAATGCAAGTTAATATGAGTTTAAGGTGCTCCTGTTCTGTTTGCTTAGCAGTACTACTCTCAATATAAGTAAATTATGTGCCATTAATTATAAAATATGTCAACATAATAACCAATAAACTATAAATAAAAAAAAAAACTTAAATATTAAAATGTTCAACAAATAATTTTTAATCACTCTAAAAATGAGTAATAATATAAATTGTATTGTCCTTTTTTATTTTAAAGAGTTAAATTAATATCAATTTTTAAATGTAAAAAATATTTAATTTTCCTTTCATGTACCTGCAATGTGTGAAACCCCTTAAGTAAATGAAGTTAAACTCTTAAACATCGAAGCACCTTTTGGTGTAATGACTGAAATTTTCGTAAGAAACTCCGTAGTTAAGCGTGTTCGTCCCAGAGCAATTTTGGGATGAGTGACCTACTAAGAAGTTACTCCAACAGGATAAAACTGTGAGGCTCTTTAGTCAAAGCAGACAATATCTCGATAGTTAAGAGTTTGGTACACCAGCCTAAAGATGGGAAATAGTGCTACGCCATGAGAGCCACCTCTTGAACCCTATATGAGACAAAGTACTATATGATGTAAGCCACCACTTAAACTTGTAGGGGCCGCCTCTAGAATCCTATTTTCCTGGTGGATGATTCTGAAATTAAGATGCTGACGAGGACGTCAGTTACTAAAGTGGGTGAGATTGTGAAACCCCTTAAGTAAATGAAAGGTAAACTCTTAAAAATCAAGGCATCTTTTGATGTAATGGCTGGAATTTTCGTAAAAAACTCCACAGTTAAGCGTGCTCATCCCAGAGCAATTTTGGGATGGGTGACATACTGGGAATTTATACAAACAATACAAAACTGTGAGGCTCTTAAGACCAAAGAGGACAATATTTCTATAGTTAAAAGTTTGGACTGTTACAATGTCTGATTTACATGTTATTTTTTTTTTATAAATTTCGGTGTCTAACACATTTCGGTGTCATGTAGAGCACATATCTGTATTTGATAATTGTTGGACAACGCATGACTTTAATTTTTGGAGTGTTGGTACATCCCAGATTAAATGTCAACTAAATGATCTATTCGAAAAAGATGAAATGGGTTTAGATGGTATGTATTATCACAAACTTGAGGAGCCTAGTTTCTTTGGAAGTGAACACATCAAACTTATTTTTAGATGAAATTAGTAGATAACTATTTTTTCAGAATGTACTTAGTGTTTATATTTTTGCTGTGTAGAATTCATTCTTCTTTACTTTTGCAAAATTAAGCTTCATTTTGCAGGTTAATTATGAGGCTAGTGGTTGGGTTGCACATCAAGTCTCTGATGTATGGGCAAAAACATCACCTGATGAAGGTGATCCGGTTTGGGCGGTTTGGCCAATGGGTGGGGCCTGGCTTTGCACTCATCTTTGGAATCATTATACCTTTTCTTTGGATAAGGTATAAGGTGAACTTAGAACATTAACCATTTTCTCTTAACTCGGCAAATTTATAGTATGGTAGAATTTGCATGTGTTTTTATTTTCTTTTTATTTGTTAAGGAGTTATCAAAACTGTGTATCCTAAAATGCAATTTAAATATTTTTTCTTTTTTTTTGTGCTTGGACCCTTCATGAAATCTTGTATTTGCAATACTCTTATGCATTAGTTATGGCCTTTTTCAGAATTTTCTATGAGTCTATGAAGCTTTTTAACATATTTTTTATTGTCAAACTAGTTGTAGTGATTTTTTTTGCTGACACTCAAAAAAAGGATAAAGTGCTAGTTAGTGCAATTTGCTTGCATAGGTTTTCTTGATCATGCATAAGAAATAAGAAGAAAAAAAGAAAAAAAGAAAAAAAGAAAAAAAAAGGTCATGATCCCATATTAGACTAATGACTTCACGCTTGGCATATGCATTGTTGGTAAACAGGTGAAACCTAAAGTAAACACCAAGAGGTAAAAAAAAAAAAAAAAAAAAAGAAAAGAAAAGAAGATGAGTGCCAAAAAACACATTTTATAGAGATTCAAATTGATGGCCATCTCTTATAGCAGTTGTTGTAAATTTTAATATGATATGACTAAAAAAATACATCATTTTTTGATATAAATATAAGATGCCACCTTCTATTTTTAAGGAAATATCTAGGACTATTGAAATATGATAACATTTTTGAAACATCTTTAATAAAATAACTCACAAATGCTAAACACCTTTCAAGGCCTATTGAAATATAAATATAAGATGACACCTTTCTATTTATAAGGAAATATCTAGGGCTATTGAATAATGATAACATTCTTGAAACATCCTTAATAAAATAACTCACAAATGCTAAATACCTTTCAAGGGCAGAGCCTCTAAACTCTCGGAAGGTGGCGCCCCACCCCTCTTCCATCTTTTATGTGTAAGATAAAAATTAGGCTTCACAACTAGACATATATTGTTGCAAGCAGTTCAACTGTCTTCAAAATATTGAATTGCATTTCATTGACAATGATAAGGTGCTATACACAAACATTTCTAGAAGAAAATGGTCCATAAGAGGGAATTTTATGCCTATTTTTGGCTAAGATTTCCCTTCAAATGTTGGCTCACATCACCAAACCCTTTTATGTCTAAGCTCTAAGGTTTTGTTTGGCTCCACTTCTCTTGTCTTTTCAGAAAGTAATTTTACTTCTATATCAGAATATGCTTTGAAAATCACCTGCTTGCTCATTCACTTTATTTATAACTTGGTGAGCATATGAAGTAACTTATACATGTGATGTGAAACATTCCCATGCGAAAATGATTTTCTTAATGAAGTTTGCACGTTTAGATTTAGAGGCAATAATAAGCAAGATCTTATGCGGAATTGAACGATAATATAAATATTAAAGTGGTACCTAGCTTAGGTTTTTATCTGACATGCATAGAGGTTGAGATCATTAAATAGTCAAATAAATCTTACTTTGCATACATGGATTGTTCCAACAGTAAATTCCAATACTAACAATAAGATTAGTCTATAAAAGATCCCTCACACAACTCTTATATTACTAGGTTTTAGCGGAGAAGTATTAACATTATCTTCATGACTATAATAATAACCACAATCAAGGATGTACCTATGAAGATAGCGAATCGGATGTTGAGTTTACCCAAAGACAAGAGAAATACGCACTCCGGCAGGATCATTTGAGAGTTGGGGATGACTTAGACAGCCACCATGAGCTTCCTCGTACCACCGATTAGCCAAGACAAGGTACGGATCTTCAAGATAGCAGCAGTTTTTGATCTGGACAAATTCTGGACATCAATTGGACCCTTCCGGATGAAGGTATGGTGCTAGGAGATTTGTAGAATCAGTGGACAGCAGGTTGTAGGAGAGCAGCCAGCAGTTTGAAGGTTTTAGGCGGCAGGAATTCAAGTTTCCCTCACTGGAATTCTTCAGGATGCTGTTGGGCAGCCACCTGGATGTGTGGGCAGCAGGTCGGCAAAGGGAGAGCTCACCAAGACTGCTGGTCAGCAGTTTTAATGCTTCAGAAAATTCTGGACAGCACTAAACAGCAATCAGGAGAACTTGAACTTGGTGCTGTTTGACGTTGGAATCTTTGGACTTCAATTTGGGGAATGCACTGGGTACAAAACAGCAATGTACAATTGTTGGAATAGAGATACAGTAAGCAGGAAACCAGCAAGTTTGAAGATACCGTGAAGGGAATTAAGGAGGGGCGGCTAGATTGAAAGTTTGAGAATTTCCAAATCAGAATTTGGGAGTAATGGAGATTAGGAGGAAGAGCCGGCTGATTTAGTGAGCATTATGATAGGAAACACTTGGATTTCCAAGTGTTTCACACCAAAACCAAGAGGATCCAAAGGAAAACTGCCGTCCACAGCAGAAAAACAGCCAACTGCACGAAAATCTGAGAGGGAACGTAGGAGAAAAATGTAGGAAAAACA